GCGCAAGATTAGTTAGATTTCACAAGATCTCTCTGTCGCTCAAATAAACAGTGACACAATATTTACTTGCAAGCTAAAAATGTACGTTGGCCCCATAAGATCATCTATCGGCAATACCTATCATTCTGATTACGATACAAGCCTCTCATAGAGCATTGAGACCTTTTTATAACAATTACTCCATAATTTGGCATCACACTCTGTTATCATGACGACCCAGAGTCGATTTATTCCAGCTTTCCATTCGCAATTCACCCACTATAGCATATTTATCTTAGCTGCTTGATTAACCATTGGCAATTATTGACCTAACAGCCCTGCCTATTCGTGTCCCTTTATTCTCCCTCTTTTTAGTTTCCTAGTCGCTGGTCTGGCTAACGGTTCTCTGGTATGCTACAATCTGGACTTGAATCAGTGGCATCATGAATTTCAGCATCGCTACTGAACCTGACTCCTTCATCTTGAGCCTTATTCTTGCTGCCATTCCGAATCTTCTTTACCCGACAATATCCTGTCTCCTGCAAACCCCGAGGCTGTAAACTTGGCACCGTTGTCCATCGCCTCCATCCCGTATCTCATGGTGCCTCAAACCAATGTTTTTTGCAATGTGACCGACTTCCTTAAACTAATTTTTTTCATGACATCTTTCAAGGAATTCTGACTTCCCTTGGAGGCCTGAATCATACGCTATTCTTTTTTATTCCTCTCCCGTATTTTGCCCTCGCCATACCTCTCGACAAAACCCGTTTACTATTCTTAAGGCCAACCCATTGGTTTAAGGTCTATCTATCCTAATCTCTATTAACACATCTGTTCACATAACCATTTGCATAGTGCATACAGACGGCCAAAATTGCATCATAACCTTCGCATAAATGCGCCCTCCAAGCATTATTGCACACAGGGAGCCTGTCCCACTTAAATTTTCCCCGATCTACAGGCTACTGTAAAAGTTTTTAATAGTTCTATCGGTACTTTGAAGGTTGTCTCAATGCCCGGTATATACAGCACATAAAAGTCCATACACCCATTTGGCGGGATTGATTCGGAACTTGTACGTCAGTCCGAAAAAAGAAAGTAAATCTTGGAATGTTGTTCTCTTCCCTGCTTTACCTATGCTACTTTCACCGCCATCCTCTCTAATGATGATCGGTTCTGAATCCTGACAGTCCCCGCGAATGTCTTACCGACAATCCATACTAATGGCTTCCTTTACACATTCCACTTTTCTTTAGTAAATATTCCGCACCTATTTGCCTCACATTCCTTTATTCGTCTATCATTTTTATTCAAGCGCCTTATAGGCAGGCGCTTACTCGTCCCTAAGCCACTAGACGGTCATCTTCATACCGTCAATTAATCTTTATTCTTATATGTTTAGATCAAAGTTACCTTTAACAAAATCCAGTCTTTTCAGTTAATTAAATAAATCCATATTGCACCTAGGCGTATCATCGAGCCAAACTCGTCGTGAAGTCAAATTCGCAACGCTTTATGCCAACTCTCGAGTTTGGTTCAGATGCGTAAAACTCATTAAAACGGAAAAAGATACATTGAGGCGTGCTATCAGTTATTTGTTTTCTTTGTTTGTCGGCTGCCGAAAGCCTGCTCACAACCTCTCAGGCATTGCATCGGTCGATCCAATTAGAGATATTCTCGTGACTGTGTTTGCTTGGAACATAGTAATTCGGCCATTAATTCCTTTAGTCTATTTTTCTTAATAAGATTCCAGACTTTTCCGTTAACTATTAGATTAATAACAATAATCCTCTCATGGAAAATAGTTAGATCCCTTAAAATCATGTTTTATCAATGCTCTAGTTGCTTGAGGCCCATCAGGAAGTACTCTGAACCTCATTACCAGGGCCTCAGGACTCGATTATTAATGGCTCCGAGTTGTCCGGATCAATATAAGGGGCGAAAGCTCAGAGAAACCTGCCAACTAGCTAGATTAATCCAGTTTTAATTGAATATCTCTCGGCACTCATCTTCTACTCTATGATCCATGCATTGGCCATTCACAAGCCCAATATATAAAAATCTCATCAAAGCTGATAGCAAATGTTCAATGGTCGTAGCAACGAGAAAATTCATAATACAATGTCTTAGACTAGTTTAGAAATTGGCATCACTGCCTCTCAACAGTAATTGGTGGATATTATAGCATTTAAGAATGAAAGCTAGATAAAGTCGAGATCAGCTTGCTCGAAAGTCATGTAAATTTGCGGTCCGTTCGGTCTACGGCAGCAGTAGCATGCCGAATTTTAGTATAATCAATGTTATATGAACGATTAATTTGAAGCAATTACAATAATCCTTGATGAGTCAAAGTAAAACTATCCAGAATATTCCTATATGAGTGTGGTATTCATGAGTAAATTCCAGCGTGCAAGTGAACGTATGATTTGTTTAAGCTAATCCGTTGGGTGAAGACATTAGTGAGCCCCAACAGCAAGTAGATTAGGCGTGAAGCAGGTGCAGCACAATAGGCGTTAGCATAAGTCGGATTAGGTTAATGTAAATGAGAAATAAAGCGACGTTTCGCGATATAGGTGATCTGAGTCGGAATTATTGATATCATGGTAAGTTAATGTATGGGTGTCATACTAAAGCCACTGAGATTTTAAAGTTTTTAATTGTTAAGAATTGGGATTTTGATGACTTAATTAGCTGAGGAGGCCTAGGAGAGGTCGAAACTATGGTCTACCCTAGAAAATATATTGGAAGACAAACTAGGTTAAAATAAATGGCATCGTGAGGCCTATTATCAATGCTTAAGCAATCGAAGAGGATTAAGACCTCATTTAAGAATTACCGATAGTCTCGAAAACCACCTAGATCGAAAATGAAAAGAAGTTGAGAGTAGCGCCACAAGGCAAAATAGACAACTTTATTTAAGAAGCATTTGTGATCTCTACCCTCTAGACTGCTGAAAAGGTTATAGTTAAATACGACAGAACAGAAAATCATATATTTATTTACAGAAATATTAACAAATAAAAATGTACAAGA